GGAACAATCCAGTTCATCGCGACCGTTGCATTGGCGCTTTGTTTTGATGGAGACGAAGAAGTAGGTAGATATAAGAAGTAGTGGCGAGGAGCCCTAGAGGCCGTGAGTGACCGACCGCAATGTTGACATGTACGTCGTCACAACTCTCAACTCCCGCAAGTTGACACTTGAGTAGTGCATGCCAAACAGAACACACTGCGACAGGTTCAGAGGCGAACAAGCAGATGTGTTCGTCCAGCCCGTGATCGCTGCCGCTGCTTCTGTCCCAATGGATGTCCATGTCCGTCTGGCTGTCTGTCCGCCGGTGAGTTCTTTATGCTCACTGACGCGACTGAGCCCAGGATCTTGGTGGAACAAGTTGCAGATATTCCTCGTAGTGAAAGCTAACCTGCATGCAGTTTCGACATCGAATCAATCAATTAAAATTCAGCTGAGACTGCCAAAGATTGCAAAATTCGGCATGTGTGGCAAACCAAATGCACAGAGAGCCCAAAACTGATGATGCGGTGAGGAGGCAAGAAGCCACGCGGGCAAGGACAGGCTGGAGCTAGAGGCCGGCCGGTAGGTGAGGTGAGGTGAGAGGGCTCGCGCGTCGCGCGTCGCCCGTCGGCGACAAAGGGAAAGCGCTAGCGGCGCGCGCGGAAGAGACAACTGGATGCGGTGTGGTGGTGCTGTGTTTTCCTCCGCGGCCGGAGCTGGGGACAGTGACGGAGACCAACCACGATCACTAGGGCCGGCCGGGCCGGGGGGCGGGCGCCGGTCGCCGTGCGTTGCGTGGCCAATGGCCAGTGGACACCATGCATGGTCTAGAGACCAGAGAGTCCAGGTCCAGCGACTCGATCGGCGGCGCGCGCGATGGATCGGATCGGAGTGGAGACCGGCCGGAGAGTGGAACGTGCACGTCGCGGTTGTTAACGCGGATGCGATTTCGGTTCAACCACGGCTAACCAACGGAATTGTCCGTTTCCGGCCGGGTGGGGAAAAGAAAGGGGGGGTTTCTTCGTGTCAAAGGAAATTAATTCGGCCTGGACTGGACATCAGTCAGTCGATCGACGATAGATGGGGAACTCTCCGGCTGTTTGGATTGTGTGGTCCTGTGGATCTCAGTCGGACGCAGACTCTACGTCCAGTGTACCGCGTGAAAAGAAGTGTGAAGAGAAACCGGTGCAACACTGCCAGATTGTTGTACTACGTATGACCTAGCAGCCCAGCACCCGCCGAGACTGCCGACGAACTCTCAACTCCGCATGTGGGGTGGGGCTATAGATGTCCAACGGGCCATGCCGGGCCGTGCCGGGCACAGCCCAATGGGGGTCGGGCCGGCATGGCACGTCGTGCCTCCCGGGTCGTGCCAAGGCGGGCATCGTGCCTGCCCTACGGCCCAGGCACGGTCTGCTGGGCCGTTTTTTGGGCTGGGCCGGCCCACGAAGCATGGCGAAAACAGCTGGCCGTGCCGGCCCGCGGGCCACAAAATGGCAACGCCCAACAGAGAGACAAAGAGAGGGGAAGCGCCGAGGCCCCCTGAGGGAGGGAAGGATGTAGGGACGGTATGCCGGTCGCCCACAGAGCGACTGAGACGGAGTAGGCCCGGCGACCGACGTCGCTTTCCTTCACTCTCGCTTTCGCTGGCCCATGTCCGTCGTCGGTGCGCTCGTGTCCGGCATCCGCGAGCCAGGCGCGGAGGTGGCAGCACGACAACGGTGTTGGGGGCGGACAGGGAGGACGAGCGGAGGAAGCTCAGACAGCGCCGGTGCGTGGGATGAGGAGCATCGAGAGAGGAAGAGAAGCAGGCGACCGACCGGGGGAAGGGTGAGAAGAAGCGCGCGTGCGCGTTGTGCACAATGGAGTCGCAAACTCGTGTCCAAGCGCTGCGAGCTCGGAAAGGGAAGCGGCGGCGGCAGCTACGTCTTGTGGAATCGGAAGAGAGTTAGGTTTATGAAGTTGAACTCTTAGCAGGCCGCTAGGCCGCTGTAGTCACCAGGCCGACGTCGTCCCTAACTGTAAATGTTGGGCGTGCCGTGCTAGGCCATGTGCCTGAGTAGCGGCCCAGGCACGCCCTGCTCCACCGGGCCGGGCCAGCCTAGGCTCACTGACCATCGGACCGTTCTGTGCTCGGATCGGACATAAATAGCGTGCTCCGTCGTGCTTGGGTGCGGCCGCGGGCACAGCCGGCGCGTGCGCTGCGTGCGTGCGGCTTTCCCGAACTCAACAGCTGCCGTGCGAGGTGGCAAAGTAGTCACGATGGGCCACTCTGAATCGGGCCATCATCGGGGGAATGTCACCGAGCAGGGCCAGCAGCTGTTAGTGCTAGGCCGATGACCCGGATTCCGCCTTTCCAGGGCCCAAATTCAGGTGCGGTAGCCTAGCCCGTGGGCGGTGGGGCGTGTGGACTTGCACTGCCCCGGAGGCCAAACTGGCGGATCCTTTTGCGCGGAGAGCAGTGAGGCTGCGGCGGGATCCAACACACACACACACGGGCTCTCATCTCACGGCGTTGTGGGCGGACGCGCGGCGGGGTAATCATAGAGATAATATTGGGCCGGATGGGGTGTACTGTCTTGCTGGGCTCCAACGTATGAAGGCCAGACCGGGCCAGATCGTTGCTTTCTGCCTACCCCTTAAAAAAATTATTCGAAATTTCATATTTTACCATGTCACGTGCTCACGTGCCCCGGCCCTGGAACCAGACACAAAATGAGAACTCTGTACTTATTATCTCTAACTTCTACACCTAAAAAGTTCCTATGCTTATCGTCTGCTGCCCCGCACTACCGACGATAATCCGAAAGTCCGTCCCGCGTCCGCACACGCCGGCCCGCAGTCCCGCCAGGAAAGCGAGAAGCCGTAGCCGGCGAGGTCTCGGTCAGGGAGCAGGGTGGCGGTGCCTGATGCCGTGATGCGCCTAGCGTCTATATCTCGGCCGAGAAGCCGTAGTCATCGTGCGCCGCGCCCGATGGCCGGCAGCCGCTTCACGGCCACCACGGCGCCCCTCGGCATCGCGCCCTTGTACACGATCCCGGACCCGTCCTTGCCGATCACGATCTTTTCCTTGAGGTAGTCCAGCACGTCGTCCATGGCGAAGTCGACACGCTGGACCGTATGCCGTGAGCCGCCATGCGCGCGCCTCGGCGGACCGCTTCAGCAACCGCGCCTTCAGCACGGCCGCGGCCGCGAAGATGATGGACAGCGCGACGCCGTGGGAGCGGCACGGTCAGGGAGAGGAACGCCCCGCAGAGCCCAGCGTTGCCGGCAAACGAAGTGGCGTTGAAGTAGGCAAAGTGACCGGTGGACGGGACCTTGCCGGAGAGGCGCAACGCCGTGGGAGCGAGCTAGGAACGCCCCACAGAGCCCAGACCGGCCAGGGTAGTAACGGCGTCGCATGGACGGAGCCGTGCGGGGCGAGGCGCGAAGGGAGCCGGCGCAGGGGCGGTGTTGCAGGGCTTCCGCGGCGCAAATCCGAGAAACGTGCGGGAGAGGAAGAGACGGAGACGAAGACGCTGCGTGCATTTTTTTCCCTTCGATTCGGTCTTAGTGCGTGGGCGTGGCTGCGTGCGGTGGATGGGGTAGTGACAGAATAGGGGGTTAATAAAATAAGTGAAAAATAAGAAAAGAAAAAAAAGAAAAAAACCCTGATTTCCTTTTGAAAATCTCCAAGATAATAGATGTTCATGTCTTTCTATAACTGTCGCGCGGTCGCACCTCAACAACGGCTTCTCGGGAGCAGCAGCTTCGGGTCGATGTACCGCGCCAAGCTCCCCTACAGGTGTGAGGTGGCCATCAAGCGGCCAGAGCGCAGCGGCATCAGTGGTCGTCGGCAACGTCGCTTCGACGCAGATCTCACGTTTCGCACGGAGCTTCTGCTGTTGTTACGCGTGAACCACCGAAACTTGATGCAACTGCTGGGCTGCTGCGATGAGCACGACTTGCGCATCCTTGGTGTTCAAGTTCATGCTCTCCATGGCGCGCTTCACAACCACCTCCACGGCAACACAGCCACGACGACTCACTCGTCGCGGCTCATCAACGTGCAGCGCTTCACGGCGTGCCACCGCCTAGGCTACCGCCATACTACGCATCGGCTCCTCCTCTTACGACACCTCTAGGTCTAGCAACATATGACCTCGTGCGTAGTAGCCTCCAACGACATGAGACCTCCAGCAACAAGCTTGACAAGTACCGGACGCTGGTGACCTGGGGCGTGGCGACCAGCGTCGATGCATGGCCACGTTGACATGAGGATATGTGATGTCAGTATACTCATTTCCCCTTACAAGATAACTGAAAAAATAGGATCGTATATGTACATATGTATTGACTACAAAAAAAAAAACTAAGTGTCAAATCATTGTCTTATTCAATTTTTGATCCCGTGCAACACGGACATATATCGGCTAATAGTAATAACAGTTAAAATAAAGTTGAACTTCATGGAAACCAACAAAGAAGGACTTTTTTTCCTTAAAAATAACAAAGGAGGATTTTGCTTCTGATCATCTAAGCGAACCTTGATTAGTAGAACGGAGGCCAAGCAAACACCGGACCAGCAGGCAAGAACCTTAGAAAAACACTTTAATACCTTATTATATATAATTGAAAAGTTAGATGCAAGTGATAGGGCCTGTTCGCTGGTTGGGGCTAGTGCTGGTTTTTTGTGAGAGAAAAACACTGTTGGTTGGCTGATTTGGGCTGGCTGAAACCAACAAGCGAACAGGCTGATAATTGAGACGGGAAGCCGGCAAGAAAAGAGAGAAAAAAATTAAAATTAACAAGCAACAGGATGGACTAAGGACACTCCCAACCACCGGACAGTTTCTATACCACGAGACACTGTCGTTAAAAACTATACTCCCCAATGCATATTTGGTAACAGGGTTCATGAAAAAAAATCAAACCAATCATCTTTCCCCAATCCTTCAGATCCGGTGCGGGCAAGTAAGCCTGTGGCCGCGTGGCTGAAGCCTTCTCTGGCCCTGTTCGCTTGCTGCTCGTTCGTGAGGACCTCAGCGACCCCGCCGCATACTCGACGACGTGAACTCTTCGTAGTAGCAGGGGAAGGCCACCCAAGGCGCGAGCTCCTCGACGACGTGAACTCCTCGATGAGGCGTGGCCGGCTGGCCGCGCACGCGGGGCGCACGTCGATGGCCGAGGCGGTGCTGGTACGGGGACTTGGGCAGCGGGCTGATGTCTATTTCGGCAAGACCGCACACTCCGCTGGCTCTGCCTGCTGGCGCGGCGGTGGGAAACGCCATGCTGCCGGCAGCACGACCCGCGGCCGCGATGCTCAGGCACCAGGTGACACCGGCGACGAGCACCGTGGCCAAAGCAGCGAAGGCGCACACCTCCCAGATGATGACGACGATGGCCGCCGCGCCACTGAGCGGGCACGTCGATGGCCGCGCGAGACTCCATGGCGGCGGTGGCGGCGCACGCGGGGCGGCCGCGCGAGACTCCATGGCGGCGGCGCGCGAGATCTCGTCGGTGGCCGCGCGAGCGAGCTGGCTCCGCGGTGGCCGCGCGTAAGCTCCCGTCGGCGGCCGCGTGTGCGAGGCAGCCATGCGAGGGTCCGCGACGGCGAGGCGCCAGATCCCGCCAGTGGCCGCGCGAGGTCCGTGACGGCGGCGACCGCAGGAGCGGTGCTTCACCGGCTGCGCAGGATCCGCAGTCGTAGATGGAAACCAAGCGCTCCTCCCCCAACGCTGTATTGGATGGTTTCGACGGCCTTGTTGCGCGTGAAGACGTCGAGTCTATGGAGTCAGTTTCTTCTGTTTTTCTTCTCTTTCTTTAATAAATACAGTGCCATATAAGCAAGAATCAATAAATAAAAAGATAATAAATAGCTATAGAAATTATGATAAAGTCTACATTAGAAGTGCCCTAACGGCCAAATAGCCAATGCATGCGCTGAATCGCGTGGAAGTGGAAGGACAGTAGTCGCGGTGGTACCCTACCGTGGACTACTCACGACGTATGTGATGGAAAAAATCTACATTATGTCTCTCAACTTTTAAGAAAGTCCGTTTTTTCTCTCTGAACTTTAAAACCGGGCAAAACACCTTCCTTAATTTTTAAAATCGTTCATCTTACTTCCCTGGCCCAGTTATAAGTGGTTTTGAAGGCGATTTTGCCTTTTTCTTTTTTATTTATTTTGGCTGAATCTTTAAAAATCATAGTAAATTACAGAAAAATCATAAAATAGAAATTTCAATTTTATTGGACTCCACGTGAGTAGATCTACATAGTGAACATATAATATGGTATGCTTTAGTACAAAGTTTTTGTTGTGGCTTTAGATCTATGCTTTTCTATAATTAAATGGAATAATTCGTAGCTGCAGTTTCTATGGTTTAATTATGGTGAAATTTTTATGATGGGCTAATTATTGTATGCTTAAACTGCTGTAGTAAAAATTTCATATTCATTAGATCATGTATAACTTAGTTATAGATTTTATTTAGGTTTATGCTTGTTAAATATAAATAAATATATAACTAAGCTATACATGATCCAATGAGTATAAAATTTTTACTACAGTTTAATCATACAATAATTAGGCCACCATAAAAATTTCATCACAATTGAACCATAGAAACTACAGCTATGAAATATTTCAATTAATTACAGAAAAGCATAGATCTAAAGGCACAACAAAAATTTTGTACTAAATCATACCATATTATAAGTTCACTGTATAGATCTACTCATGGAGTCCAACAAAATTGGATTTTCTATTTTTATGATTTTTTTATGATTTACTATGATTTTTCAAAGATTCCGCCGAGATAAATAAAAAAGAAAAAGACAAAACTTATTTCAAAATTGCTTATAACAGAGCCAGGGAGGTAAGATGAACGGTTTTAAAAGTTGAGGGAGTTGTTTTGCCTGATTTTGGAGCTCAGGGAGGAAAAATAGATTTCCGTGAAAATTGAGGGAGATAACTTGACTTTTTCCGTATGTGATCCGTGACCGGGTGATTTCTATTTCTATGGGCCACGGGCAATAAACTGGAAAAGCAACCGGCCGGCACTCTACTGGGTTCTAAATATTTGGGGGCCCAGCCAGTGCTGCTGCGCCATGCAGGCCCGGGCCTCTTGACGAGCCTGCTTGGCTGAGCAATCTCGTTGATTGTTCTTGAGGTTTGGACAGAAGAACTCAATGGCGATGTTGTGGGTGGCTGAGAATTGAGATGATTGCTGCTGTCATAGGCCGAAGACTGACTCAGCGGTGTCAGCGTCGTGATGAGCGATTGACAACTACGGTACAGAGGTAAGAGCAGTCTTGTATGTAATTGGAGTGTCTTAATCGCTTTCAGTGCAAGCTTGTGCACCGAGTGGACTTGTGGGATCGTTCACTTTTCTCACTTGGGCTTTTATCATCATCATATTCATGTCACAACTCACAACTGAACGATTTGCTGCTGGAGGGGTCCATAGACGAGGAAGCGAGGGAACGATGTACCCGTACAACATTGTGTGCCATACAAGAGTTATAAATGTTTGGTCACCTATGTTCTATGACGATTTGCGTCGAATTCGTCATGCTAGACTTGTACTACGCTCTACGCATGATAACGAGATACTATGAACTAACTCTCAGTCATAGCAGAGCGTGTCAGCTCAAATGTCCAGGACTCGAGGCATACAAGGGCTCAGAGCAAGAGCTAGAGAAGGGAAAAATAGCAAAAGGTTGGAGACGCGGGGAATCGAACCCCGTGCCTCTCGCATGCGAAGCGAGCGCTCTACCATATGAGCTACGTCCCCTTGATGCTACTTAGTGGTAAATTTATGATTTGAAGACAACCCTAGGCAGTTGCATGATACGAAGCCTTGCATAAGCAGGAACAGCCTGATCCCGAGAACGGCCCATACCTCGCCGGCTTGCCCACTAGTATATAGAGGAAATACTAACGACGAAAAATAAAGCAACGGCCTCATCACAAAGTGAACCAGTCATTCAAACCACTGACGCACTGATGTGCCGTTGGACGCACACCTCGGCATGAAGACACGGCCGTGGCCTCAACGTTCAACCCAGAATCGCCATCGCCCATCGATCGATCCCGTCCAAAACTCCAGTACGCGCACCTACAGTCGAGTACACCGAGACGAGACGCGAGAGAGACGTCGTTGGTCCCGGGCCGGGACAAAAAGTGTTCCGCGCAAGAGACGCCAGAATTCCGCTCCACCGGACCGGGCACCAACCAGCAACCTCCCCTGCGGATGCGGGACCAGGGCGAGCTGAGGGCCAAGCTCCCACATGAAATGTTCCGGTCCCGTTCCAATCCATGGACCATGCACGGCAGCCAATCCTGTAGCGCAGAGGAACGGGGCGGGGCGGATACACAGTACAGGTGGTGGTGCGGTGAGGCCACATGCTCTTGACATGCACAAGTGCGAGCGCGAGAGAGCGAGCGAGCGAGCGACCAGCAGATTCATGTCCCGGATGGTGGTGGGGTGGGGGGAGTCACCGGACTGGACAGGATCAGGCCACCACCTCACGAGGCTGCCGGGCGCTGAGGGCTTTTGAGCTCGGCAATGGTCCCGGCGTTTTGAGTTTTGAGTTTTTGACCTACTCGATAGATTGTTGGTGCTTGCCGATCTGATCCATTGGATGGCATGGCACTTTTTGTAAAGATCAGGTGTCACCCGTGTCGATTTGACCCGGTGAGTAGGATCAGGGCATTGGCTTGGCTGGATAAGCGAATAATGACGAGAAAGAGACTGTAAGGATTGGCTGTTGGCCATATGCGTACTCTTGGATAAGTAGCCGCGTCATAAAGTCCACGCAGAGGTACCCAGTTGCAAGTTTCTGGTGGCAGACTAGCAGAGCATTTAGTTAGAGGAAGGAAGTTTTGGATCGATGGCAGAGAACGACAAGAAAGCACAGCTGCGTCAACAGGCTTGGCTTCATAGGGTTCATTTGGTAGAGATCCAAATTTTCGTAGAAATGTTTCGGATCTAGATTCTTCGAAGAAAAGCATTTTACACAAAAGCGTAATCACTTGTTGGAACCGTTTGGCGGACTCAACTGATTTAGATTCCATATGTTATGTATCCGTCTGTGCGAGAACACCCACCTACGCTGAAGTGCGAAACGGTTCCAATCTGATTCTCAACGCTACATCCCGTTTGGAACCGATCCTCCTAAGAAACCGAACCATTTCTCTCATCAAACGGGGCCTTAATTCGGACTTGGAAGTCACCTAGAGAAACGCAATCCCATGATACAACTGAATGAAGAATAAAATACTGGCCATGTACTATCATTCTTTGTAGTTCGTTATTCAGGAAGTATATCAAGTCAAACTTGAGTTGATCAATGCAGGAAACACAGCGGTTGCAGTTGGAATGCAAGATTTTCAGGAGAGCAGAAGAAAGCAGAGCCACATGCTTTGCATTGCACACACACACACACACTACTAGTAGCAGTAGTACTTGGGGGTAATTACAGAGGGGAGGAGGGTACTTAGAAAACAAAGCAGGCAGCCGTACGTGCATATCTCTCATGTCAAGAGTTCTTCCCCGGATCGAAGAACTGAAGGACACGCCTGTCGGCTAGGCCAAACTAGGATAGATCGGCGCCCACTTCTAACCCCCCACGAACTGATCATCATCATCGTCACCATCCTACTACCAGGACTCTACTTATGCTACAGACACACACACACGTGCACCACATTCAGAAGAACACAAACATAATACTGTGTATATAGAAACACGACAGAGCCTCAGACTGAGAAAGACTAGCTATCTAGATTCCTCTGCACTGCATGCCCTCTGCTCGGTTTCTTATTGGCGCCGGAATGGATTTGTTCTAGCTCAGCGGTCCAACGAACTGATCACCACCCTGCAAAGCGAACCAGGGACAGAAGCTGTATCAGGACCACCCATTTATGAATCGTCAGGATTCAGGACCAGCCATCTGTGAATGGCCAGAACTCAGAACCAGCCATGTATGCTAACATGGATTTTTTTAGAGTTTTATGCTAACAATCTATGCTAACATGGATTGTGGTCTGTTATGATTCATGCATCAAGGTGGTGGTAAAATTTCAAGAAAAGAAACTGAGCGTGGGCCGAGAACGAACCAGTCGTACACGGTGGGGCTCCTTGGCCCGACGGCCGGTTCCGGCCCATCGGAGACCTTGGTTTTCCGGCGGAACCTCCTCCAGCCGTCCGCCATGGGCGTGGTAGCTGCACCAAACACACCATCAACAACACAGAGGGTCAGGGCCAGGCATATGCTTTCATGCACAAGTTCTCATTGCTTTCTGATGAATGAACCCGTTGTTATCACGCACCAAACACACCAACAAATGTCTAATCTGGGTGCTCCTAGACCTGACAATTAATTAATCACACTGTACTCCCCCCCACTGATGAATTCCCACGAATCATCATCTGTTATCACGAAAGTATTACGCATTGACTTAAATCTTGCGGAGTTGCGGTGTTTACCAACTACTCCTGCTAGCGGCAGATCTGTGACGGCGTCGCACTCAAGAAGGCGTAGAAAAAACATCAATAAAACGTAAAAAATAATTACTTTTTTTTTCGTTCCTTTTACTGTCCCATTTCATCGGAGATCCAATCCTGCGCAGCAGCAGTGCGCAGACCTACCTAAAAAAAGGAACGATTTTTACCCCAAGAATGGGGCGACGACCAAGAAGAAACAGAGGCGGGCGAGCCCACCTGTGGCGAACGGCGAGTCGGGCGTGCTGGCCGGGGAGGACGGGACGGAGGAGCTGTAGGACTCGGCGCGCGGCGAGGCGTCGACGGACAGCGACGGCGGGCGGGCGATGGTGATGCTGCGCGTCACAGCCGGCGGCGCCGGCGCCGGCGCTGACGCGTCGGCGGCCGCGGCGGGAGCGTGCGCCGGGAAGGACGACGACGAGGAGGAGGGGGAGAAGGAGGAGTACTTGCGGAGCCTGCCGAGGCCGGAGTCCGGCCGCGGGCCGGCCACCGTCTCGTCCCAGAGCTGGTCGAGGAGGCCCATTGCCCGCACGCACCAGACCAGACGGTCTATGCGATTGGTTGGCTGGCCCTGCGGCTTGCGCGTGTTTGACGTATGCGCGCGTTGTCTTGTCGCGACGCGAGGGAGGAGGGAGGGAGGAGGGGCTTGGGTTGGCTGCCTGGAGCAGTTGAGCCTTGGGGCGGGGCGGGGCGGATGACGATCCCTCCGTTCTCTCGGGAACGGTGGGCTAGGGAGGATTTTTATAGAGAAGAAGAAGAAGGTCGGGGTGGGCGCGAGAGGATTCAGGCCCCGTTTAGTTAAGCCAAAAACTAAAAATTTTCAAGATTTTTCGTCACATTAAATTTTGCGGCACATATATGAAGTACTAAATATAGATGAAAAAAAAACTAATTACACAGTTAGCCGAGAAATCGTGAGACGAATCTTTTAAGCCTAAATAGTCTATAATTAGACAGTTTTTGCCAAATAAAAACGAAAATGTTACCGTAGCCAAAAGCCAAAAAAAATCGGAACTAAACGGGGCCTCAGTCGAGATATTGGGGTGTGGGTGTAAATTTGGATAAGGGAATAACTGGTACCGAGCTCATATTCTTTTCACCTCTCTCCTCATTCTTGGCTCGGCTCCGTTAGCCACGGCTCGGCTGAGCTGGCTTTACTTTTTTATTTCTCACTTTAAAGATTTCACGGAATACTAGCGCTGGTTTGCTTCGCAGATCGACTCCATTCAGAGATCGTTTGCAGCGTGTCACTTGTTACAAGAGGATCCAAAATGGCATTGCAGTCTACATATTCTACATGGGGAATGGGGTGATGTTATTTTCCCATGGTTCGTTCAAATAAGTTGTTATGAAAGTAGATTCAATGATCTATCTAATGATATTAATTATCATATAAATATTAGTATTTTCGTGTATATATTTAGTCGGTTAGGTATATTTGATTTCTCAAAAAGCAAGAATGACAGCTAAAAAAGGATGGATGGAGTATGCTTGATTGTCTTCACAAACACAGCTGCAGCAATGGATATACATGTGTACTGTTAAACCATGTTCTCGATGCCATGGACACCTCATGAATCGCATGGCTAATTGATTCTCCAAAGTTAAGATTTTACATTGAACTATGGTCCGTTTCGCATAGGTCCACCTTTGAGATCTACGCTAGATCTATAATCTACGGTGTGACTAAATTAAAGTAGTTTAAACATTTATATTTTTTTATTTAAACTATAATTAAAGTGAGTGGTGTATAGGCACTCAACGAGCCTCTACTTCTAGATTCAAGAATTTTTTCGGAGCTACAAATATTTACCTTCAAGAAATCTATAGATTACCTAGAGTCGTAGCTCTGCTGGCGAGTTCTTATTTCACGGATGACACGATATGATCTCTATAAACTAAACACAGTTAGAAACAGTGATAGTAAACTTTGATGTAGATATTTTTTCCCTAGAATACACAGAAGCGTTAGTTATGTGGTTATGCCGACCATACACAATGAATGAACAAACGACTAGGAAGTGCTAAAAGCCCATGGGTGGTACGGATCACGCACGTCAAACCAGGTCTACTATGAGAATGGATCCTCCTTTTACCATCTCGGATCGGACGGCTTCTTTGAGCAGCCGGTGCCGTGTATGCCATCGTCATTCGTCAGCCGAGCCGTGGCTCGCGCCGAGCGAGGCTTCCCGTGAACTTGGACCCGGGGCCGGAGCCGAGCGGGTGCGCGCGGCAAAATCGGAACGAGTTTTGACTTTTGACCGCAATCCATATCCGGGTGGCCCACCCCGTACTACAGGATAAGATCCGTAGCTCTCAGGGCCATTGTAACACGCCACCCGTAGTGGGCCCGGGCTTCCATCACGAAATCACCAGTTTACTGATCACCGGTCACCACACAGACCTCGACGACCCCAGCTTTGCTTTTGCCTTCACAGGAGATAAAGAAGAGAAACCAAAAACATGGAGCATCACCATCGAATACAAAGGAAACCTCTCTACGCGATGAAGTCATGAAAACCTCTGGGAAAAAAGAAGAAACAAATACGTACTCGATGCATGTATTAATCTATCTGATGATGTGTATTTTAAAACGCAGGAGATGCGTTCCGAACTGTCTACGGCTTAATTAAGCTTGATGTTGCCAAAACGATTTTGGTTGAACACAGGCATGCAAAGATGATGACCGTACCTATAATGGGCCGAGCAGAAGCACGCTATGCTCGACCTCGAGCAGCTTTGTTTTCCAGCTGATTGATGAAGTGGGACCGAGGCAAAAGATGCTCAGATCAAATCTCAGCCGAGCATGCATGTGGACGACGGGCCCTAATGCACATGCACGCAGTGGTCCGATTAGGTTTTTCCATCATCTTGCTTTGCTTTCGCTTCCAAAGAGTTGATTAGTTACAAATGGTGTCGTCTTGGACGACCAATTAGCGCGTCCGATCCATCAAAGCAACGTCGGAACCAAATCAGAGGTCAGGATGGACGAATTAGGAAACACCTGCTTACTATAATCAAATAATTAAGCCCACAAGAAGATGCAGCTGCCGAATTGACCTTCTCTGGTGTCTTTGGTGAATGGGTGATGGCGTGGATGCATTATACGTGGATGAACTAAACATCATGTATACTAGAGAAAGCAGAGGGTTAAAATCAGCAACAGGGACACAACATTCTGCCAAACTAGTAAGTAGATGCACAAAATATCTAGTTATCGGTTATATATATGGATTAGCTAGGTTGATGCCTTGATGAGCCTTGAATTTGGTCGCTGCTCGCGGCACCGTACCGAATGCCGTCCTATTGTATTGTCGTTCTCGCTACTTTCAAATTATCTTACCTTCAACGGCAAAACCACTTATTACCTTGCCCGTGGGGCTTTTAGACAGTGATGTGAAGCTTCGAATGTAAACGTTAGTTTTGAATTATCTACATACATAGTTTTTGCTATGTATTTAAAAAAGCCAGAACGACTTACAGTTTAGAATTGAGGGAGTATACGGTGAGAAATCACCATGGTCACCTCATATTGAAGTCTTGTGGTTATCGTCTGATTGAAATGGTTGAAGCTAACACTACAGGAGACGCGTGCTTTGCCAAGTGCAATTGCACTCGATAAAGAAGGCTTTGCACTCGGCAAAGCTTTTGCCGAGTACTGTACTCGGCAAAGAGCTGTCGGCATATCCCTTCATGGCAAAGGCTTCTTTGCCGAGTGTCGCATGTCGGGCACTCGGCAAAGGATTTCTCGAGTGCCACGACGGCACTCGGCAAAGATTTACACTCGGCAAAATAAAAATGCGAAAAAACCCAAAAATAATAGCAAAATTTTTCAATTTTTTTTTCGGGAGAGGCCGCCACCGGCCAACGCCCTCCCGTCTCCATCGAAGTCGCTGTATTTTTTGCACTAAATTCGTGGCTAACACGGCCGACGGGATTCGAACTCACGACCTCTCCCTCACGTGTCTACTGCTTTACCACTGCACTACACTATCACTTGTATCTAGATTCTGTTATCTATCCTCGTATATTATACTAAACCGAGAGTAAATTGCTTGTTTAAGGCCCTAAACGAATTCAAATCAAAAAGTGGTCAACTACAAAGTTTCATAACTTTTTGAGATCTACAATTTTCATTTAGGAAGTTTTTACATCCGAGGTCGTTTGAAAAATTCGAATTTCAAATTTAAGAGATTCAAACGTTGTTTTGCATGATAAGATGATTTCAAATTAAAAAGTTGTCAACTACATAGTTTCATAACTTTTGGAGATCTACAATTTTCATTTAGGAAGTTTTTCCATCCGAGGTCGTTTGAAAAATTCAAATTTTTAAATTTTCAAATTCAAACGTCGTTTTTGCATGACAACATGATTTTAAATCAAAATGTTGCCAACTACAAAATTTCATAACTTCTCAAGATCTACAAAGTTTATTTTGGTCACTTGTTCATCCGACATAGTGTTAGTAACATTGTTCACAAATCTTATATATCTCTCTTCTACTTTCATGAAACTAATATAAGAGATGTAGATTTTATGAACAACATTATTGTCGCTTTATCAAATGAAGAAATGACTAAAATAAACTTTGTAGATCTTGAGAAGTTATACAACTTTGTAGTTAAAAAGTTTTTCATTTGAATTCATTTAAGGCCTCAAAAATTGCTTTGAAAAACTGATTTACCGAGGGCAAAAAAATGCACACGGCAAAATGCCTCTTTGCCGAGTACCAAAACAAAGGCACTCGGCAAAATACATCTTTGTCGAGTGCCAGAAATAAGGCACTCGGCAAAGACGTATTTTGCCGTGTGCCGAAAAATAGCACTCGGCAAAATACATCTTTGCCGAGTGCCCGATAAAATACACTCGACAAAGCGTCCCACACTCGACAAAGCGTCGGTTTCCGGTAGTGTAACAGCCCCGTTGTGACAAAAAAATACACACCTATTCCACCGCGACGCCTCGACTCCAGTTCTAGAACCTCCAATTACGAGCTTGCTATAATTAACCACCACCGATTACTCATTAGAAAACGTTGCCCCTTACCTCCATCTAGAAGACACATAGTTTAGGTTTGGTATGAGTTAAGCTATCTTAGATTTAATAAGGTTAGAGAAAATAATCTAGTGATATTTATGACTTGATATATTATGAAAATATGCTACATGGCAATTTTTTAGCACGATGATTATTAATACCTTGTTCATATAAATTCAATAAAATTTAAAATATGTTTTGATTGAAGTCTACTATAAAATTAAATTGCATAATACCAGTACAACACCGTTACTCTATTGCGTTGCGTTGCGTCCCATCAAGATGTGATGCACAACAGCCTCATATGTAAGCATGCATGGCTCACCACACAAGTGGCAATATATATAATTATTCAGGGTCATATAGAAACAATTACTAGCAATTAGCATAGGCCGTATGTTTTATTAGTCCACACTGATAGATCAAGGGCTCTATGGCGGCGATCATAATTACCCGTGGGGCCTACCTCCCTAACTTTCAATTATT